AAAAGTCCTTCTATAAATACATTAATAACAGAAGGAGGGGCAAAGAAAACCTCCATTCTTTGATGGACTTGGAGGGAAACATAGTTAATAGAGATGAGGAGAAGGCTGAGGTACTTAACACCTACTTTGCCTCAGTTTTTACCGGTAAGACAGGTGGCCCTCAAGGCAACTGGCCTCTGGAGCTGGTAGACAGAGATAGGAAACCAAATAGCCCCCTTGTATTCCGGGAGGAAATAGCTGGGGACTTACTGAATCATCTGGATCCTCACAAGTCTATGGGACCAGATGGGATCCATCCTAGGGTAATGAGGGAGCTGGCAGAAGAGCTTGCCAAGCCGCTCTCCATCATCTTCCAACAGTCCTGGCTCACTGGGGAGGTCCCATATGATTGGAAGTTGACAAATATCACTCCGATCCATAAAAAAGGATGCAAGGCTGACCCTAGTAACTACAGGCCTGTCAGCCTGAGCTCGGTGCCTGGCAGAGTTATGGAGCAGATCATCCTGTGTGCAATCACACAGCAGCTACAGGATGGACAAGGGATCAGACCCATCCAACATGGGTTTAGGAGGGGCAGATCCTGTTTGACCAACCTGATCTCCTTTTACGATCAGGTGACCCACCTGGTGGATGAGGGAAAGGCTGTGGATGTGTCTATCTGGACTTCAGCAAAGCCTTTGACACTGTCTCCCATAACATACTCCTGGAAAAGCTGGCAGCCCATGGCTTGGACAGGGGCACTCTGTGCTGGGTCAGGAACTGGCTGGAGGGCCGGGCCCAGAGAGTGCTGGTGAACGGGGCTGCATCCAGCTGGCGGCCGGTCACCAGTGGTGTTCCCCAGGGGTCAGTGCTGGGCCCAGTCCTGTTTAACATCTTTATTGATGATTTAGATGAGGGGATTGAGTCCATCATCAGCAAATTTGCAGATGACACCAAGCTGGGAGGGAGTGTCGACCTGCTGGAAGGCAGGAGGGCTCTGCAGAGAGACCTGGATAGACTGGAGAGATGGGCTGACTCCAATGGGATGAAGTTCAACAAGGCCAAGTGCCGGGTCCTGCACTTTGGCCACAACAACCCCCTGCAGCGCTACAGGCTGGGCACAGAGTGGCTGGAGAGCAGCCAGGCAGAAAGGGACCTGGGGGTGCTGATCG